GTAAACCTAAAGATTCTGACTGCCCACAAGTAATATTTAACTGGTTAATTTTGTGATCTAGTCCCCATCACCTTAGCGATAGTGAATGGCAGCTGGAAGCAGAGCAACTAAGAGTAGGGGCTCTGAGGCTAGACCACCTGAGTTGAGTTCATATTCTCCCTTCACTTGCTAGCCCTGTGAACTAGGCAAGGTACTTAATTTCATTCTGCTGTTTCATTTGTGAAATGTGGGTAAGTGTAGCTCTACTTTTAGGATTGTTTAAAAAAAAAAATTAAAACATGGAAAGCACTTAGAATGGTGCCTGACATACTCAGTACTACGTGTCAGCTATCAGTACGACCACCTGAGCCATTCTCCCCCCCACCCTCCCTTAAATGCCTACTCCCAAATTACTGAAGCCTAGCTAAATGTTTGAGCCCTTACTAAATGCCAGGTACTCTTAAATACTTGATGTGTATTATCTTATTTAATCCACAACCTGAGGTAGATTACTTTTATTAATTAATAGGTGAGAAAACTGATGACCTTATTAAGGTCATTCACCTGAACCTAGGCAGTATGATTACAGACCTACCCCTTTCTTGACCATTACTCCCCACTACTTCCTCCATTAACAAAAGTTAATCCTAAAAATCTTAGCTTTTCAGGTGTACACTACACCTTCATATAATTCCCCTAATTTTACAGATTAAGGAAACTGCAGCCCAGAAAGTTAAGCGACTTCTCAACAGTGTTTCGTTCACTTTGGGCAAATTCACTTCCCCATCTTTATCTATCTGGAAATCAGTTAATACTGGATCAGTCTTAAGATTGCCAGTTTTTAGGGAAGGATTCTAAGGTTCCTAATTTGGATTGGCAATGTGGTACAGGGAAGTCAGAAAACCCTTAAAATGTTCTATTCCACCTGCCTTATGCTTTTAAATGAAGTCTAAGTATTTTAGAGCCAGACCTCTCTGATACACTCTTCTCACCATTTTACAAAGGACGCATTACCTTTGAATACAGACATTAAATAGAATAGAGCTTTAGCTTTTCCAAGACCTTTATAGCAGCAGCTGTGGATGACAAAGTCCCTACCCGTAAAGAGCAAGAAGCTATTCAGATCTAAGTTATTAAACTCTTCTACATGGGGCCTTTGGCAGTAAGTTAAAAGACTCAAGATGTGAAAAACAAGGATAGATTTCCTTTTTAAAATCATTTTAAAATACCGCATTTAGTAAATCTAATTAAAATGGCAGTAACAAAATACTTTTACCTGAATCACTTAACCTCTCAAATTTCTTTTGTTGATTAAATTACTGGTAGACCTTTATATGTGATCATTCTAGGATGTGCAGGGCATAGTTCTTTTTGATATATAGGAAATTCCAGAGCCAGGTGGTATAATATTGAATGTTTATTCAAGGCTATAGTAAAGAGAACATATTTACAAATAGTCCCATAGAGGACTCACAAATATTTTAAATATAGCATGTGGACTGGCACAGTGCCTAAGGTGAAAGCAACTATGTATCTGCAAGATAATGTAAAAGAGAATTTTACCTTTGCAAGTACTTTTACATTATGGAAAATTTCCTTAAACATTTAATTTAGAATTCTAAGAGTAGGGAAAAAAATAAGGTTTCCTTTTATAAAGTTCTCAAGAATTCCTGTTTTTCTCCCTTAGATAAAACTGACTTCATAGATCATGGTAAAAAATGGTTTCAAAATACTTGGATTTTTTCAAATTCCCCCCAAATGTTTTTTTGTTGTTTTTTGTTTGTTTTTTGCCTCAAATACTCTTTTATTCCACTTGGTAACATTTTTCATGTTAAATATTACATGCTTGTCCTCTTTAAACATTTAAAACAATTAGGACATTGTCATTCGTTACTAAAGTTTCAAGTTGACATAGAAGTCAATTACACACCTTTATCTTACAAATAGTGAATAAAACGAGGTACATTCTGTATCATCTGCGATGAATGTAATGAGAAAAAGTACATTTAGAGCAGTAAGTAGCCCTCTTTACCATTATTTTAATCCCATCACATAGGAGGCAAAGAAAACAATTCCAGGGGCGCCTGGGTGGCTCAGTCATTAAGCGTCTGCCTTTGGCTCAGGTCATGGTCCCAGGGTCCTGGGATCGAGCCCCGCATCGGGCTCCCTGCTCCGCAGGAAACCTGCTTCTCCCTCTCCCACTCCCCATGCTTGTGTTCCCTCTCTAGCTGTGTCTCTCTCTGTCAAATAAATAAAATCTTAAAAAAAAAAAAAAATTCCAATACTTAAGTATTTGCTAAAGATGATCCATGGCCCTTTGAGGATATGTATGTGTGGACACACACCTCCCACATCTACAAAGGTACGTATGTCCATATGTATATCATCAGTATGACTGGAAAGATACATGCAACCATGAAAAAATATGATAAAAGCACTATGAAAAATACTAAATGAATAAAAGTTAAACTACAGATTTTAGAGAAGAGCTAAGTCCATGAATATGGAAGGGATTGATTAGGACTTCAAGGTGGAAGTGACATTTGGTCTGAGCCCTAAAGGACAGCTATAATTGTGAATTAAGATTTCTAAAGAACCACGATCAACAAAAGCAGTTCAGTAAAAAAAAAATGGGAACCGATAGTGGAAGGGGAATAGAGAAATCTACATAGGGGACATGATATGCCTTTAAATTTTAACTCTATTCTGGAATTAGCGATAAACCATTAATGGAATTTTAAACTAAGTGATCAAAACAGTCCTAAAGTTAAAAGGCAGCTCTGCAGGCAATACTGGAGAGGGAAGAGCCTGAAGGCAGTTAGGTCATAATCACAATGGTTTAGGAGAAATTGATAGAGATATTTTTGTTAATACTACTGGCATATAAAGGACAGGAAAGAATGCCAAACTCCCAACCTATTCCAGGTATGACTCACTTACTGTGGTTTTTGGAAATCCATACTGTCCAGAGACATTTTGATCTTTTGATTCTCAGTAATTAAGGGCCTCCCGCCCTTACTGTTGAACTTGCACTACCTTACCAATTAACCTCTAAAGCAGTACCTATATAATAATACACTTGCTTCTTTAAGGTACCCCAAGGCTAAATGTGACTCTATATCCCCCCAGCAGTGCTTCTCAATCTTATTATTGAACCTAAGAATTACCAGGGAAGCATTTTTAAAATGTAGGTTCTTAATCCCCATTTTAGACCTACAGAATCTACAGCTTTTAGGATGTTTCCCAGATGATTCCTTGAGTCCACCTTAGACAAGTCATTTAAGCTCCCTAGCTTCAGTATCACTGTGAAATATGTACAATAACCACTATCTAACAGTAGAGTTATGACAACTGAATGAAACAGTATGTATTCATGTCTAGGAATGGCCCTGGCACATTGTGGAAGCTAATAGCCCTACCTCCTCCCTAATACATTAATTCGGGATTTACAGGTTAGTGGGTTTTCTTATGGCAGACTAGAGGATAGTTTTCCAGTTGATCTACAGTCCCTCATTTGTTGTATTAACTAATAAAGGAATATAGCACCCTAGGAGAAACTGCTCTTCCTCTTTCTTTTCCACTGCAAACTAAGGAAGTTATATGTGCTTTTCTTTGGTCTTTTCTCACAGAAAGACTGGCCTTCAAACTGGGATCAAACAACTTAGCAAAAGCCCAAAATGAGCGAAGGAAGATGAACAATTAAGCCCATCCACCTCCAGAACTCTCCCCTTCAACTTCTTATCAGTTTCTTGACAAACGGACAAGGTTTTGTTGGTTAAGAACTGGGGCTAGACAGAGGGGTACCATAGGTGCTATCACCTTTCCAGTGCATGCTCATTGCTCCTGGTTCACAGAGGGCAACGGCATGTATACACTTTGATGGTGGAGACAAGCCATTTTCTCAGCCAAGGGTCATGACACAGTGAGGCACGTTACTGTTAAGGGAGGCCTCACCTGACTCCCACTCAGTCCACAAGGTCAATCGGAGGCCAACTCCTGTGGCCATATCCTTTATCCTGGCCTTTTAGTTCCTTCTGGGTCTTATGGTATATTAAGGAAGGAAAATAGGGTCAAATCCTAGCTTTACCACTGACTTAACCGTGACACTGAGCAAGTACGCCGAATTCAGTTTTCTCAAGTTATTTTGAAGCTATTCATAGGCTATGGCATACTAATGGTTTTTGAGAAGGAAAGTAAAACAATAAAAATTACCTGCTTTCCCTAAAAACCATGCCCCCCAAATAAACCAACAACAGTAAACAGAAACTAATAAATGTTTAATTTACATTTTTTCTGTTAAAATATAAAACTAGGGTTAAATTAAATTCTCAAAGTCTAAATTAGACTAAATATAAATCTGCTGCACAACCCATTGAATGGATTTATAGTTTGACAGTGTCCCTTAAAAGTGTCTAGTCATCTTCCATCTTTTTCCTTTTTTCTAAATTCATTCTGCCCCAGTCTTCACTTATCATCACGTATACTTTATTTCATCAAACATTTTCCAGGACCAACGTACTACTTAAATAATCATTAAGCCCGTTTAGAGCTTTCCCAAACTTGAACTTTTCTCACCTTGACTACACATCCCAAGGTACTACTTTTTTCACTTCTTTTGGCTAGTACTATAATGTTCCATAAAGAAACAATAAAAGTTACGTATTTCCCTAAAATGAAAGATCAGTATTCAATGGTTATTATGTTAACCAGTTAATAAAAGTATATCAAAAACCACTCGTTTGTTAATCAACTGAAATTATAACATAATAAATTAAACTAATACTTTGCTATTTACTTAATGCTTACAAATTATTCAAGGAATCAAAATGGCTTCACAAAACTTGATGTCTGCTTCCCAAATACTTCACATTTTTTAACCCCAGATCCATACAAGGAGAAAAATCCAAACATACTCTCTTTCCCTAAAAACTAAAGTTGCTAAAAGGCATTATGTAGGATTTTTTAGACCTAGAAAAAGAGTTATACTTCCAACATGTATTTAAATTATAAATCCGTTTTTATCCTGTGACACTGCTTGAAATTTAAGTACATCACAGTTAAATTAACTGGGCTTCTGCTTCATCTCTTCAAGTCTGATGGAAGTTCGTTAGCATCAAGGCTTTTATTCAAGATTTCTTCTTCTGCAAAGGTGATTTTAAAAAAGAGAAAAGGATAATCAAACATTACAAAGAAAAAAATTAAACAGGACAAATTCCAAATAGCAAATTTCAGTCTTCTTAAGTAAAATGTTCACATGCAAATGATTATGATAAAAATTACCATTACTCTCACTGAGGTACCTTTTCTCCAGAGAGTATCAATACATCCCTCTTAGAATACTTTTTAATATACTAGTGTTTAATTATCATGGCAAATCAGTGATAAATAATGAATCTATATCACCAGATCTACGTTTGCTCTAACACGCTTTAAGAACAGGGTTTTTTTTTTTTAATCTCTATGATGAAAATTTTTGACATACAAAAATAAAGAGAATTAACATTAGCCCAATGTATCCATTATCCAGCTTCAGTAATTAATACTGTTATGTGAACTGTGTCCCCCAGAAAGACATGATGAACTTCTAACCTCAGTACCTCAGAATGCGGCCTTATTTGGAAAGAGGGTCATTAAAGATATAATCATTAGGATGAGGTCATTCTGGAGTAGGGTGGGCACTTAAACCTATATGACTAGTGGCCTTATAAAGAAGGCACGCAGACACACAAGAGGAGAAAGCCATGTGAAGATGGAGGCAGAGATTAGAGCTGTGCTAACACAAGCCAAGGAACAGCTGGGGCTACCAGAAGCTGGGAAAGGCGAGAAGGATCTTCCTTCTGGTGGCTTCAGAGGGACCGAGGCCCTGCTAACACCTTGATTCTGGACTCCAGCCTTCAGAACTTATTGTATCCAGAGACAATAAATTTCTGTTGTTTTAAGGTACCCGGTTTGTGGTACTTTGTATGGCTGCCCCAGGAAACGAATACACTAACCTATCTTGTCACCCATCCCCCTCAAATTTATTTCAAAATAAATTACAGATATTATATTACTACAAGAATGATATTTAACATACATAGTGCTACTCAACATTTTTAGAACCATCTTCCACTAGCCAAGATTTTGACGAGATTTACTTTTGATTGTATTATGAAAGCAATAGGTTTCGGGTTTTGGTTTTATTTTCCACCCCTGTCCCACACTAACTATAAAACTATATACCCATCGCTTGAGATTCTGAAAGTACCCATAGAAGTGACAGGTTCACTCTTCTCATCCTAGTCGAAGGAACAAAGAGCATATTTTATCACATTAACAATAAAGATCATGCAACATTCAATGCATACTACTGTTTACAAGAGGTTGAGAGAAAAATTCAATAGGTCAATATACACAGGTCTAGTTAAACCTTACCTTTTAAATTAGGTAGAAGTTCTCCAAGACTACATGGTATTGCGGTTTTCAATCTTTGTTCCACTGGAGAAAACTTAATTAGTGGTGAAAGTGACCGTTTCCTTTCACCAAGGGACATGCGTAAAGATGGTTTTGTATAGTCAACATGCAAATCATGAGTACCCAAAAAGTCAAGCATATCATCTGTTTGCATGTTTGTGGGAATAGAGCTCAATTCTGGTTTGTGTCCTTCAAGTGTTTTAGGATTAGAAAGGTCACTTTCTTCCCTTTCCTTGGATAGAGATTTTTTCAGAGCCTCGTATCTGCGACAAATAGCCTGTAAATTACAGTCCGATTCTGGAGTAGTTGGTCTTTCTCCCACATCTTCTGGAAAAATGCCACTGTGCATAGGACTATTTGGCTCCAGTTTAAAATTGGCTTCTGTACTACTGGAGCTATTAAGACTTAAGTTACCAACTTCTTCTGGAAGAGTTTCATGTAATATGCCAAAATCAATATCCTTTAAACTCCTGGAACTAGTTCCACTTGATACTTGAAAAGAGTCCCATAACATACTTTTATGCATGAAAGGCTCCTTGTAAAAAGCTTGCAAGTGGTCAAGAGAAGACTCTTCTTCATTGCTACCCATTACAACTCTCCTAGTACCTACAGCAGGGGAGACTGTCTCTGTTTGGCTAGTTTCTAAAAGCTTGTTCTGTAATGCTGCACACTCCAAACCTGGCTTGCACATTATTTTCTTACTTAACAAATCTGACTGATTTTGTGTCGATGGTCCACCTATGTGACTGGTCACCACATGTTTCTGAGGCACACACTTGAGGCAATCTGAAACAACTTTCTCTTCAGGCAAATGGGAATGGCCAGAATTGGATACAGTGCTTGCTGAGAGAAAGCTGGTCCTGCTAATTTCTCTTGGGTTATGCAACACAGGTAAGGATTCTGGCAATACTTCTTCTCTATGTTCAGTATCCACCTGAATTGGTTCTGTACTTCTGTCATCTTCCATTTCGACAGCTTTTCTCCATGAGCTCCTAATTTCACTTACTAATTAAGGGAAGGGGGGAACACAATTTATTAATATTCCCAAACAGAGCATGCAATTAAAAATTTCATTTCTAGCGCTCAACATAAAGCTACCGATTCAGTGTATGTTACACAGATATGCCCATTGGATGACAAGACTCCACAACCAACCAAAGGCCAACAACATGAAAGAACTCCTTCTCCAACTGATCACACACAAATAACAAAAGCTGTCCCTGAAATGTGCATATACTTGCACACAGCACATTAGAAAGACGTTTTCTTATCCGTCTAAGCTAGGATTCAGCAAAATTTTTCTGTAAAGGGCAGACAGTAGTATTTTAGGCTTTGTAGGCCATCGTTCTGTGGCGACTACCCAACTGTGCTACTATAACATGAAAGCAACCATAAACAATAGGTTGACAAATCAGCAAGGCTGTGTTCGATACGACTTTATTTACAAAAACACACAGGGCAAGCTTGATTTGGTTCACAGCTTGTAGTTTGCTGACCAATGCTAGGTTGTGGCTAGGTTCAACCTGAACTGAAATCAATTTAACTTCAAATATGAATTCAACCTGGATGATGTGCCATACGGACAACAAAACCAGAATTTTGCCAACACAGATTATAGGTTACAAGAAAAAAATACTGGGCAGTCTAGCTAGCTAGAGAGGGTAGAAACGATTTCCATATACACAATTTTTGGCTGATGTTGCTGGCTGCTGACTGGAAGGACACAGCCTATATATCTACAAATGATGAGCACAGGTCACATATGGAGGCAGAGGGTTTTTAATTTGTTTTGATTTTTTTTTTTAAGATTTTATTTATTGACTTGAGACACAGAGATACAGAGAGAGAGAGCACACGTAGGGGGAGAGGCAGAGGGAGAAGGAGCAGGCTCCCGCAGAGCAGGGAGCCCGATGTGGGGCTCGATCCCAGGACCCTGGGACCATGACCTGAGCCGAAGGCAGACGCTTAACGACTGAACCACCCAGGCGCCCCTATTTGTTTTGTTTCTAAAGATTTTATGTATTTGTGAGAGGGGGAGAAAGAGCACAAGCAGGGGGAGCAGCGGGCAGAGGGAGAAGCAGGCTCCCCGCTGAGCAGGACCCTGGGATCATGACCTGAGCAGAAAGCAGACGCTTAACTGACTGAGCCACCCAGGCGTCCCGGCAGAGGGTGTTTTAAAAGTAATCAATTGAAATATTTTCTAGGAAAGAGACAAGTAAAACAACAAAAACAAAATTGTAGAGTATCACGGCAAAATAATAGTGCTCACAAACTGCCGTATCAGTGAGAACACCCACATTTAATACTTCAATAAAAGTCCTTACATCAAAACAAATAAAGAGCCATTGCCATTAAACTGAAAGAGAAAAGAATTTTAAAGTGAGTTTCCAGAAGATATGCCAGACCAGGGTTCTAACGTAGTAATGTCTAAGAAAGAAAGTAAGTGATAGAAATCATTATTAACTTACTCAAGTTTTCTGGCGTTCGGGGAATTTGGTTCCTTGTTAAGAATGGGTTAGACACTAGAGAATCAAATACTTCCTCTAATTTTACTTCTTTTCCTTTAGAGGGCTGTGGTGAATCAGATAAAACCGCCCTGGCAACCTAAAACAGAAAAGGTAAAGCAAAAATTACCACATCCATTGGTGGAATACAACAAAAGCCCTGATAAGAACAAATCAGCACCTGCCGGGCAGCAGCCCCTACACCACAGCAGACGGCACAAAAAGCCGCCCAAAAACATAGCTCCCAGCTGCTCTGTATCATCTATCTAGGCACAGTCCTGTAAGGTGAACTAAAATATCAAACTGTTTCTGCCCTTCCTTTCTTAACTGGATATCCCATTATAAAGGAAAGGTAAAAATCTTTATACCTGAGAAGATTCACAGATAATCCTGACTACACAGTGATCTAAGCTCCTATCTGCCACATCTTTGAACTTGACAATTCTGTATCAGCTGAAGTGGCTAGTTTTAAAGCAAGCAGATTTTTCTTAATTATAACCCACTTGCACAGTAACACCTCTATTAACAAATGAAATACACTGACAACATACTTCTTTGCCAGAAACCTCATTATGAGACATAAATTAGTGAACAAGGCATAGGAGTACATTCTAAAATAGAGAGTATACAATATGAAAACAGCACTGTACAATTTCAATAAAACCGGAAAACAAAAAACATGCACATTAAAAACACTGCCCCAAGAGCCCTAAAAAATAAACTTCCTAGAACCATAATCAAATAGACCCCCATTTACCCTCCCCCATGAAAACAGAAGATGTCTTAGAATTCAAACACTAAATATTTCTTGTCACCAACACTACTAAAGAAAATTAATTTCACTTTATTTTCAGAGCTTTATGAGATTTTAGGACTCTCCCCTTCCATCCCATCCCATTCTACTGCTAATATAAATTCTTTTAATTGCAAATGTCTTTCCTTCTGTATCAGGAAAGAAAAACAGACTGAACATCTTTTATGTGGAGTCCATCAACCAACAAAGAGAAATAATATAAACCTGAAAGATTTTAAAGTACTTATAGACCATGAAAAGGGTTCAACCTCTTCATGTTACAAACAAGAAAATGACTGACATCCAGCTCTCTTATTTGGACATCATTCACTTACTTTAATCAAGACTGAGATAAAGAAGGGAACTCCAATACCTGAATCAATATGCACTAAACCCAATTTTTCTTTCAGTCTCTCAGGAATATAAAATAGCTGATTTATTTTCAGGCTCCTTATCCCAATTCAAACAATGCTAAGGGATGTTGTGGGAAATGTAATAAAAATAACATTAGAGAATGGCTTGAGAATCTGTGTAAACTTCTGCAGTAAATAGTACAATATTACTATCGAGCAACAGTAGCATTATGTAGTCACTTGCTGGTGAAAAGTCACTTGTCAGGAAAACCAAGATCATGAACAATGATGCATTTAATGACTTTTTAAATATTTAGAAAGCAAAAGGATAAACACTATGCTTAGTGATAATATGATATTGCATAGTTTTTGTTCTAACATTCAAAAAAAGAGGAAGCTTGGCTAAGGAACAGCAACATTCAGATTATTTTTTTTAAAGCAGATTATCTTAATAGAGTATAATCATTGGTTATATTTATCTAGCAATTTATGTAATGGTTAATTCCAAAAATACCATACCTGTGTTATTTTTATACTTTTGGATGATACTTACAGAATGGGACTGGGTTCTAAACCATGGATATAATGTTATATAAGTTTATATTAATCTATTTCTATTTTTTGGGAGAACCAATTTTGCTTTAACCATGATTTTCATTATCTGTGCCCTCCTTTCCCAAATTAACCCATTAATCAGTAACTAACTGTAACTTCACTTATAATCTCAATGCCAATGAGAAAATAATAGATATTTCAGTGTACTTATTATAATCTTTTTCTAACCTCTTCTACCAGATGATCTTGCTCTTTTTGGAATGGATCTCTATTTTTAGCTGGCAGAGACCCTGTAAATGCAGTATTCTCGGTACTCCTTGCAGTATCTGATGATAGAGAGTCTTTCGTTTCAAATTTTGATGTCTTCTTAGAAGGTGTTTCACTTTCCTCTCTAGGAGTTCTTATCTTCATGTCCTGAAGAAGACAGACGTGTAATGTTAAAACTTTAATGACTATGGCTGATCTTCAATTAGAAGTTCTTGAGTTATCACAAACCTATAAAAGGCTAACATTATTGTGACATCATATATTCACTGGCACAATTAAATAATTCCAATAATTCCAGTTAGAAGCAACAGGATATATGTAAATACAAATTAACTGGGAAAGCAGCAAAAATAATATTTTACCGTAAGTTAGTTTGATCAGATTAAAAATTGTTTTAAAATATACCTTTTCAAGTAATCTAACACTGTTTCTATCTGATGATGAAACTGGCTGTGACAGGAAAGAAGCAGGTCTAAAAGGAAAAAAGATAATAAATCCAAATTATAATCGGGAAAGAATTCCATTCACTTGCTATATCTGAATAATTTAAAGAAACTGTCAAAAAATAAAAAAAAAAAATAAAGAAACTGTCTGCCCCGTATCTGTCCGTTACGATTTCCCTCAATTCGTCCCGGTCATCGAAAGGCAGTTTATTCTAGGGAGGGATGGTGACAATCAGAGCAGTACTTCAGCCCCATTTGTGTATCAGCCTCCCAAACGGCAAACATTTTCCTTAACCACTATATATTTTAAGTCAACAACATTCTTTATAAGGTTGAATGACTTGATTAACACTAGAATCGCATTATTATATTATCCTTAGGCTTCAGATCACAGAATTTCATTGTAACAGAGACTTTAAGATTTTGATCTTTCATGTCCAAAATCAGTTTCTCTTATGCTGAATCTTGCATGATAGCACATACATTACTTACACTTACAGTCAAGTCATAAGGTTGTTCAGTTTCAGTTTGCTGCATTCTACACATAGCATTCCTTACTCTCTTAGATTCTCTCGCCCCTTTGGATAAACATAAAAACCTTACACATCAATTACAAAATAAGTAATTAAATTTTTAAAGCCATCAAAGCAATGATAACTTCATCTTCATCTTGAAAGAGCTTTTAAATTCAGTCATGGATGGGGTCTGTTCACTGGTCAAAGCTTTTCTACTCCAGGTAATACAAAAGTCAAGATTACCACGGAGACCACTTTCAATATCAAGTATGTTGGTGCTTTGCTTTCTGTTCACAGCCAGAAGTACAAAATTAATAGCTTTAAAACATTTCAAGTAGGGCGCCTGGGTGGCTCAGTCGTTAAGCATCTGCCTTCGGCTCAGGTCATGATCGGGCTCCCTGATCGGTGGGAAGCCTGCTTCTCCCTCTCCCCCTGCCCCTGCTTGTGTTCCCTCTCTCTCTGTGTCTCTGTCAAATAAATAAATAAAATCTTTAAAAAATAAAATAAAATAAAACATTTCAAGTAACAGCAAATATGCTTTTTCAAACTTTCTCGAATATGAGCTTCTTGGAATCTTTATCTACCTTCCAAACAATTCAAAATCACTGAAACTGCTTCAAGGCTCAACTCTACCTCGACAGAATATAATCTAGATGTCAAAAGAAAAAAATTAATCATCTACTGTGACTTTATCTTAATTTTTCCAAAAAGTAACATTAAAATCATCAAAAAGCCCCCTGAAACAGGGCTACCAATCTAAGATGCCACTAGGATGCCACCACCAGATTGTGAGCTCCTGGAGGACAAAAGACTATGTCCTTCCTGGCTATTGCCAGGAACTAACACAGTGCCTGGTACTTGGCAGTGCAATACATGTTTGTAACTAACCAATGGATTGACTGAATCAACGAATAAACATCACTTGAGCATGAGGCTCTATGGATAGATGCCACCAAATTTTTCTATTTGGATCATTCTTACAGAGCCTCATAAGAGACAAAAATGGAAATATATTCTCTCCCTTCCTCTCTCCCTTTTCTGAATTGGCAACATGCTATCAGCCCTGCTAACATCTCAATCCAAGCCAACTTTAAAGCAGCCTTGGCTCAGCCCTTACTCTCTAACCGCTTCCTATGCCAAAACTGAGGGCCACAAAATCCTAGCACTGTAACAGATAAAGAGAAAGTGTCGCTCCCATTATGGGAATTTATCCTAAGGAAAGAGCACACCCAAAAGAAAATAAGAAACGACATGCTTTTTATAGTAGTAAAAGAAACTGAGGAAAATCTAAGAGTCTAAAAAATAAATGAAATGTTACAAAGCCATTATAAGGTAAAAGTCAGTAATATACTGTTAAGAAAACATAAACACACAAAAAACTATACTTATGGGGTGCCTGGGTGGCTCAGTTGGTTAAGTGACTGCCTTCGGCTCAGGTCATGATCCTGGAGTCCCGGGATCGAGTCCCACATCCAGCTCCCTGCTCAGCAGGGAGTCTGCTTCTCCCTCTGACCCACTTCCCTCTCGTGCTCTCTATCTCTCATTCTCTCTCTCTCAAATAAATAAATAAAATCTTTAAAAAAAAAAAACTATACTTATGGATATTAATGTTTAGAAAATTTTGAGTGGATTCAATTTATATGTTTGTACATAAAGCCCAAAAAACCAACTTGCGAAGAAAGTCTAATAAGTGATTTGTTAGAATTTTAGCTAATTATTCTTCATTTTTATTTTGTTACAATATATCTACAGTTAAAGATACAACAAAGAGAAATTATAAAAAGAGAAAGATATGCGATTAGAATTCAATTTCTAAGACTAAGGATATTTAGTTGGCGTGCATGCAAGATCATACTGCCCTATTTCTGAAATGCAATAAAGGAGGAACTGTAGAGGCTAAAAGTCTAAAACTGCACTGCCACCACTAGAAATATCATGGAACCCTCCCTCCCAGAAACCACTGCAAAGAAAGGTAGTGCCCAGAGTGTACAGCAAAGGTACCACCAATCACTGAATTCTGGTTTTAAGTATATGGTAAAGCCTCCCATCAGCTCACTCTGATCAAAACCAGCCATGAGATTTATGGAGAAGACAACAGCTATTCTGGTACCCGTGGGTGACAACTGCATGTAAAAGGGCTACTAACACACAGTAATTATGCTAAAAACTACATGCTTTCCATGCTTTTTCATTGAATAGCTGTTATTGATCATATCCACATACGAATTTCTAAATTAACTACATTGATACTGACATTAAGATGATGCCACTACAAACAGCTGAACTACACGCTAAAAAAGGGTATTATTTTAAGTACAGTCTACCTATATTACACATTTTATTTTTATATTTTATATTTATATTAAACATTTTATTACAAAATACCTTTACAATAAAGAATTCTGAGCAACAAGCTTCTTTCCTCATGACTCAATTCTTCACCTTCTTCTGTTTTGCTATCAAGCAGCAATGATAATTCATATCCCATTGAGCACTTATTTGTCCCTCACCACCAACAGCCGTCCCCTACACCTCCCCGCTTTGATATCCCAAACCCGTAATTAAAGTATCAGAAGATAATTAAAAGATCTAACGGCTTGGAAGAGTATAAATCTGGAAATCAAAGTTTATTTAATACAACCTCTTTTTCCTATATTAAGAGAATTCCATGTGAACTAAATTCTTAGGGGCTACGTGTCTGGCTCCTACTGAATCCTGATAGTATATCTTAGTACAAAACTCTGCTTCAAGAAAGAATCTTGAAGTTCAATGAAGTTCATAAATAAAATCTGATCTATGAATCAATCTACTAACTCCATCAATCTTTAGTCCAGCAAGAAACCTTAATCAAATATTTCATTTGCTCTCTCAAGGAAAGACAAACCAAAAACATAACTGAGATTGGGAAGCAGCAACTATTCCCCTCTAGCATGCTTTAAGAACAACAGTGATAAGTAACTGGGGAAAACAGTGAAGTCCAGTAAATTCACTATCTCGTCAGTGTCAAGTCTTCACAACAGATTTCATTATTTTTCTTTAGGTACTCCAAAAATCAACATCACATCCAGATCTAAGAATAAAAATATAAATACTCCACAAGTAATCCTGACTTCCTGTGAATCAGAAAATTACTGCACAGGAAACTGCCAAGAGCTCAAATTCTTTTTTTTTTAAGATTTTATTTATTTACTGGTCAGAGAGAGAGAGCGCGCACGCGCACAAGCAGGGGAAGCAGCAGGCAGAGGGAAAAACAGGCTTCCAGCTGAGCAGGGAGCCCAATGCAGGGCTCGATCCCAGTACCCCGGGATCATGACCTGAACCGAAGGCAGACGCTTAACTGACTGAGCCACCCAGGCGTCCCACCAATAGCTCAATTTCACATACAAATTTTGACTCTTGTTACGCTGTCTGAACTTATTAACTTATTAAAAGTATATAGAAGGAAGAGAACTTCAACTCATTTAAAATTTAGAATTTTCTTTTAGAATTATCCTAAGTAAATTGTTTCCATATCTGTGCCTCAATTACATGGGGAAGTTGGACTGAAAGACCCCTATTTAGGTCAAAGGTAGTCAGAAAACAAAAAAAACAATAAAACACCCTATTCAGTGTGTTTGATTGCTACCTAATAATGCTTAGTTTCAAAAAAGAATAAATATATTCCCCAGATGGATTATATACATTTAGATATTTGCTTATATAATCTGGCATCTGTTTTAAGAGCCAAAACAGGATAATAAAGAAAACAGACAATAAAGAAAATAAGAATACTCCTGAAGGATACTATAATAAACTAAGGTTTAGTTTTTCATATGTTAAATTTTTGGATTAGATTGAATCAGAAGTCTTCCTATTTTTTTTTAAGCATGGAACTCTTTTTATCAAATAGCATGTAAAACGCCCAACATATATACAGATAAAAAGAACTAGCTGCTCAGGTTGAAATGGAAAAGGGTTAACCAGTGACGGGCTAAATTAAATTCATCCACGGCACCAGAGGGCGCTGCAGAACAGTCTGAAAACTAGGAGACTAGATCTCAAAAGCTCTTAAAACTCTTAGATTGTCAACAGCCACAAGTGGTTTCAAAGAAGTTCACAGACACAAAAAGGCAAAAATTCCCAAGCTTGCATTAAATAATTTCCATACATGCTTTTTTTCTTCAAATATTAGATAATCCCCTATGAATCCCAACATTTAGACCAACAAGAGAAGGGAGAAAAAAATGCCTATGTATCAGAAACGCTGACTCTTTCTTGAAAATGTGGACGCACAGTAGAAAAGTATTTTCTGGTTACGAGAAGAAAATTACAGATGACCCCATCGTAGAGAAGCATGGCAATCAGATGAAGATGACACTAAATTAATGCAGGGAAAAAGTCCATATCAAAATCACATTTGTTTTACCTGTTGCCTAGATCATATACAGTTCCCGATATATCACTAGCTCTCCTGCAATCATTTTCTTGGTTTTGTTGCTTTGGTGTATCTAAAGGAAAATAAACATTAATTACTCTTAAATTATGTTTGTATATTCTAATATCCAGGGATCTCTTGAAATTCTGGAAAAACTTCTAACAGAAGAAAACAGAAAAATCAGACTAATATAAATGTTAATAGAAAAAGACAACTATTCAATGGGACGTCTGGGTGGCTCAGCCGGTTAATCTGCCTTCGGCTCAGGTCATAATCCTGGGGTCCTGGGATCGAGCCCCATCTTCTCCCTCTTCCTGCCACACCCCCTGCTTGTGCTCTCTCTCTGACAAATAAATAAATAGTAAACCCTTAAAAAGGGGGGGGGTGCCTGGGTGGCTGAGTCGGTTAAGCGGCTGCCTTCGGCTCAGGTCCTGGGATCAAGCCCCATGTCCGGCTCCACTGGCCTGCTTCTCCCTCTCCCTCCGCCTGCCACTCTGCCTACTTGTGCTATCTCTCTGTCAAATAAATAAATAAAATCTTTAAAAGAAAAAAGAAAAAAAGGAAAAGAAAAAGAAAACTATTCAATTGCTACGTGTACAAATAGGACAGATAGAGAATATCTAGAATAATCTCATAAAAAGAGTGATAGGTTACAGAGCTGGAATAAACAACTCTAAAATTTGTATGGAACGAGAAAAGACCCCTAGTAGCCAAAGGAATGTTGAAAGAGAAAACCAAAGCTAGAAGCATCAAAATTTCAGACTTCAAGCTGTATTATAAAGCTGTAATCATCAAGACAGTATGGTACTGGCACAAAAACAGACAGAAAGATCAATGGAACAGAATAAAGAACCCAGAAATGGATCGACTAATCTTCAAACAAGCAGGAAAGAATATCGAATGGAAACAAGACAGTCTCTTCAACAAATGGTGCTGGGAAAACTGGACAGCCACATGCAGAAGAATGAAATAGGACCATTTTCTTACACCACACACAAAAAGAGACTCCCAAATGGATGAAAGACCTAAATGTGAGACAGGAATCCATCAAAATCCTAGGAAACACAGGCAGCAACCTCTGTGACAACTTCTTGCTAGACACATCTCCACAGGCAAGGGAGACAAAAGCAAAAATGAACTCTTGGGACTTCATCAAGACAAAAAGCTTCTGCATGACAAAGGGAACAGTCAACAAAACTAAAAGGCAACCACCAGGAATGGGAAAAGATATTTGCAAGTGACATATCTGATAAAGGGTTAGTATCCAAATTATATAAAGAACTTATACAACTCAACACCCCAAAAAGTAATCTTAATTTAAAATGGGCAGAAGACATAAACAGACATTTTTCCAAAGACATCCAGATGACCAACAGACACATCAAAAGATGCTCAACATCACTCAGCATCAGGGAAATACAAATACCACCTCACACCAGTCAGAAAGGTTAAAATTAACAAGTCAGGAAACAACAGATGTTGGCGAGAATGCAGAAAAGGGAACTCTCTTACACTGTTGGTGGGAATGTAAGCTGGTGCAGCCACTCTGGAAAACAGTATGGAGGTTCCTCAAAAAGCTGAAAATAGAGCTACCCTACAACCCAGCAATTGCACTACTAGGCATTGATACAAATGTAGTAATCTGAAGGGGCACCTGCACCCCAATGTTTATAGCAACAATGTCCACAATAGCCAAACTATGGAAAGAGCCCAGACGTCCACTGACAGACAAATGGATAAAGAAGAGGCAGTATATATATATATACAATGGAATACTACTCAGCCATCCAAAAAAATGAGATCTTGCCATTTGCAATGACGTGGATGGAACTAGAGGGTATTATGCTATGTGAAATAAGTCAATCAGAGAAAGACAATTATTACATGATCTCACTGATATGTGGAATTTAAGAAACAAAACAGAGGGGGATCATAGAGGAAGAGAGGAAAAAATAAAACAAGATGAAATCAGAGAGGGAGACAACCATAAGAGACTCCTAATCAAAGGAAACAAACTTGAGGGTTGTTGGAGCAGAGGGGGTTGGGGAGATGGGGTAAACTGGGTGATGGACATTAAGGAGGGCACATGATGTAATGAGCACTGAGTATTACATGCAACTGAAGAATCACTAAATTCTACCTCTGAAATGAATAATATACTTTATGTTAACTAAACTGAATTTAAATTAAAAAAATTTTTTTTCAAGTGACAGGTTTATACTAAACCAAATTCCAAAAAAAGTGACAGTCCATAGTTCTCCAGCATGATATAGCCATGCTTCTTGTTTTGGTACACAGATCATGCAATTACCATGTAAATCAGCAAAGCCAAAAGATTATACTATTTAGCATATTTCAGCCCAGCATCTATAATATCAATTTACTTATTTATTCTTCAACACATCAGTAATTATGTGCCACTGCTATACTAACAAAGAGGAAAAAAGAAATGGTGGAGACCCTGGCTTCAAGGAGTCAGTCTAGGAAAAAGACTACTGATGAGTAGAGAATTACAGCATGCTGCTATAGTATTAGCAGAGAAATATGCACAGAATGTAAGGAAGCAGAAAGGCACCTGTCCCAGAATGGGGAATGTGATGAGGACATAAAGGTACTGGGAGAATAGGGTACAAGTTCAGTATGCTAGGGCATAGGGCATATTGAATGGAAGCATGGCAGGAAACAGGATTGGTGAAGAAGGCCATGGCTCCATTACAGAGGATTTGCTATTCCAGGAACTCCTCTTTCTTTCAACATGTTAGTTTCTGAAAGATTTTCCCTATTTATACATGTGTCCCAAGTGTTACTGTGTAAGAAACCAATGTGTATACTATGTGAATTTTTCCTTTTAATCCACCATAATAGTATGCTGTATTATAAACATTTTCAGTACCCTCTGCTTTTGCACCTACTAATGATGATGGAATTACTGATACTCATAAAACATTCTAAAAATGAGCACAAATACAAAAACTGTATCACAAAACTAGCAGACAACAATAAAATAATTTGGCACAACCATAAACACTTAGTTGGTGGTGGTGGGCAGAGATGATGCACATTGGTTCTAGTATGTAAGAAAGTTTGTAAGGTAAAAGTTGCTAAGTGAAAAAGCATCTAGAGCTTATTTTCTCCCCAAAGGTGACAGAAAGCCATTGAAGTGTACTATACTAAGAGATAAAAAGGATCATATTTTCGTATTTGCACTATAGAAGGATCACTGATAACCATTTGCAACATGGAATACGTAGAATATGGAAGCAGAGTAGCTAGTTAGAACACAATTAAAGGCAAGAAATAGAAAACCAAACTACAGCACTTAAGATGTGAAGAGAACAGAGGGGACAGACACAACAAGGTAATAAGGAGGCAAAAACAAAACTGAACTCACCAGAACAAAACAAACCAAGCTGCAGCAGACAATGACTCCTACCATAAATACACTAGAACTGTAAAATAAAATGTAAGAAAAAGAAAGGAATACCCAGAAGAACAAATAAAAATCATCACATGCCAGGACTCAAGATGGAAAGCATTTAAGCTCAAACCGAGACACAAAGGCTAAATGACGGACTCCAGGGCTGAACTATGGAGATTTAATGCCTACATAATGAGAAACATCATCTCAGGTCACTCAGGCTGGGATCTGAGAAACTGCCATAAGGCCAGAACATTGCAAAGGCTGCTCGGCCCCTGAAAAGACTATAAAAATTCTGCCAACTTAACCAGGGAAGTAACAGGGAAGCTTGCTGTCTACCTGGAGTCCTGGGTTTAAAAAAAAAAAAAAAGAGGGGAAAAAAGAAATTTTAAATCTACCTAGCCTACTCAAAAGGAGGTATGAAATCCAAAATTATATTGGCTACTTGTGGGAATCCCAAACCAAAGACATTAACTGCCTACTTCAAGGGAAATACCTTGGACCCTAGGCCACCATGTAGAGACCATTCTACAACCCAGGGCCCAGGTGACTCCTTCAGAGGTGGATCCACTGAAATTGAGGTCACAATCAAAAAGAAAATTTTTTTTATTTTTATTTTTTTTAATATTTTATTTATTTATTTGAGAGAGAGAGCATGAGAGGAGAGAGGGTCAGAGGGAGAAGCAGACTCCCCACTGAGCAGGGAGCCCGATTTGGGACTTGATCCTGGGACTCCAGGATCATGACCTGAGCTGAAGGCAGTCGCTTAACCAACTGAGCCACCCAGGCGCCCTATTTTTATTTTTAAGTAATCCCTACACCCAGCATGGGGCTTGAACTCACAACCCCAAGATCAAGAGTCACATGCTCTTCTGAATGAACCAGCCAGGTGACCCCACAATCAAATATTTTAATAGGAAATAACTATGAAAATGAGCAGACCAGGAGCACCTGGGTGGCTCAGTTGGTTAAGCATCTGCCTTCGGCTCAGGTCAAGATTCCAGGGCCCTGGATCAAGCCCCTCATTGGGCTCCCTGCTGAGCAGGGAGCCCGCTCCTCCCTCTCCCTCTGCCTGCCACTCTCCCTGCTTGTGCTCTCTCCCTCTCTCTGCCAAATAAATAAATAAAATTTAAAAAAAGAATTAAAAAAAAATAAGTAGGCAGAACATACAGAAGCAGAAGTATCTGAAACATAGGGATATTTAAAAAATTGAATAAGATCAATAAAGAAGATGATACCATGAAAAAGAAAAGGCAATTTCTGAAAAAGAAGCAAATGAAAAGAAATTAAAAGCACATCCATGAGGGGCGCGCGCCTGGGTGGCTCAGTCGTTAAGCATCTATCTGCCTTCGGCTCAGGTCGTGATCTCAGGGTCCTGGGATCGAGCCCCACATCGGGCTCCCTGCTCAGAAGGAAGCCTGCTTCTCCCTCTCCTACTCCCCCTGCTTGTGTTCCCTCTCTCACTGTCTCTCTGTCAAAAAAATAAAATCTTTTTAAAAAAATATACTGTTAAAAAAAAAAAAAAGCACATCCATGAAAGCCAAACACTAAATGGACATGTCAAAAAAGAGATTAAATATAACTAAAAAGATAATTAATGAACCATAAGCCTACAGCTACAAAGACATTATAAATACAAATGAGAAGTTTAAGATATATGGAGGACAGAATCAGAAGTCCCAACAACAAGAGCTCCAGAAAGAAAGCATCAAAAGAATGACTGAGACAGTGTTAGAAGTGATATTAGTGAATAAGTTTCCAAAACAGAAAATATGAGCCTTCACATTAAATAAGCACACACAGGCCCAAAGTTTAAATAAAAATAAATCTACATTTAGACACATCTAAATGAACCAGCATAATACAAAGCTAAATAAGTACAAGTCCTAAAAACAACCAGAAATTAAAAATTACCTACAAATGAATGACCATTAGGCTGACAACAGAGGTCTCAGAAACAATAGAAGGCAGAAAACAATGTGATCATATCACTGAAGTTGTAGGAAAATTGAGCTTTGATCTAGAATCTTATATCCAGCCAAACTATCATTCAGAAATTAGTGAAAATAAAGACATTTTCACAGAAAAAACTAAGAGATTTTACTATCCAGTGTCCATCACAAAAAGATTTAAAGAATATACTTTGAGACATACTTCTGAGAAGGAGAATAAAAGTAGTAATCTTGACCAAAACAAAATCAGTAAATGTGCTGGTAAATCTAAACACACAACGATTATTAAAAACAATTTCTAACAGTGTCACTTAAAAAGGGGGGCAGGTGCATTATTCTAGAATAAAAGTAAGAAGACAAAACAACCAAAGGCAATGAATGAACCCTCCTTAATTCTAGTTCAAAATATAAACATTTACACAGGACATTTTAAAGTATAATAAGAGAAATTTATTCATATGCCAGAAGAGTCTTATATATAGTTAGATCCATACACATGCAGTAAAATTATTTTTATAAACGTATATCAGAATACATTTTTTTTTTTTTTAAGATTTTATTTATTCATTTGAGACACAGAAATACAGAGAGAGAAAGCATGAGCAGGGAAAGAGGCAGAGGGAGAGAGAGAAGCAGGCTCCCAGCTGAGCCAGGAGCCCGATGCGGGGCTCGATCCCAGGACCCCGGGACCATGACCTGAGCCGAAGGCAGATGCTTAACCATCTGAGCCACCCAGGTGCCCCAGAATAAATTTAAGATTCAGGTTAGTGGTCACATCTGCAAATGCAGGAAGAATGGGGTCAAGAAAGGTGGATCCCCAGAGATTAACTACATATATATTTTTTAAAAAACCTAAAATATTGCAGGACACCTGGATGGCTCAGTTAGTTAAGCGTTTGACTTCAGCTCAGGTCATGATCTCAGGGTCCTGGGAATGAGCCTCAAGTCAGGCTCCCCACTCAGCAGGGAGTCTGCTCGTCCCTCTGCCCCTCCCTCTGTTCATGCTCTCTAATAAATAAATAAAGTCTAAAAAATATCTAAAGGGGCACCTGGGGGTGGCTCAGTCAATTAAGTGTCTACCTTCAGCTCAGATCTGATCCCAGGGTCCTGGGATCGACCCCGTGTCAGGCTCTCTGCTTAGCAGGGAGCCTGCTCCTCCCTCTCCCTCTGCCGCTCCTCCCTCTCCCTCTGCCACTCCCCCGCTTATGCTCTCTCGCTCTCTCTCTCAAATAAATAAAATCTTTTTTAAAAATTCTAAAATACTGCAAAGCTTTGACAAAAAGTATTTGGTGAAGAGGTTATTTATATTATTCCCTGAATTTTTAATATGCCGAAATATAATTTTTTAAAAAACAATTTAAAAGAAAATTTCAAGTAAGATGTAATATGTAATGTGTTGGAGGAAAAAAAGTTGTTTTACTACCAAAAGCATAAAATGTTAAGGTCCCCCAGCTCAGATCAAAGCTCTACTTGTTTAGGGAAAAAAAAAAAGGAATCCTAAGAGTACAACTTCTGCAATGTCTGGAGGACAGCATTACCTCAAAGGACCTACCAAACACTTCTAAAATGTGAACTTCCACTGCACTTCCTAAACAGACACAAATATGACCTCACTTTCAAGGCAGATAAAAATCTCCAAATGGACATGAAGACTAATATATGGTTTCACAGGACCTAAATTAAGTCTTGCCAGAGGGCAATGGCCCTTTCCACATTAAAGTGAAAACAAAATGCCAATCAAATATGCCAAGAGCTCTAAGAGTCATTCTATCATCCTAAATAATGCTCTATCTGAAGCTCTTTGTCATTCATCAAACCATGCAGTCTTTTCTATGTCTACTCTTTTGCTAGTGCCTCTCCTGAGCCTTGCTCTCTAATCTATGACCTTTCCTAACCAGTGTCTGTACACTTCACTCCCAAACCAATCACCCATCCCAGCTATGTTCACCCATTTCTTCCTAGGTCCTGTGCTAACTACTGCCATGACCTTTGGCCTCCATGAACTCAACTATGGCCTACATCTATTACATGCTCCAGCCTAACATAATTCACAGGTTTTTTTAATGCATTTATTCCTCCTCTTATTTATCTAACATTTACTGAACTCAGTAACAATTACTTGTACACGAGTACTAGGCAACTGGGGAAACTGAATTAACTATAAAATGGATTATAAATATATAAATATAAAATATAAATGTATGTAAAATATAAAGATATAAATGGATTATAAATATAAAATATAAATATTTATGTATTTATATAAAATGGATTATCAAATATTGTAGAGAATTTTTTAGGTGTGACAGTGGTATAATAGTTGAGGAAACAGGTATTACAGAATTATAATTTTTTAGATGTGACATTACTAGGGTAGTTACATAGGAAAAGTCCATTTTTATGGGAATGCATGTTGAAACACTTAGAGTGAAGTGTTACAATGTCTAGAACTTACTTGGTTTAGCAAAAACACATACATACACATATAAAGCAATGTAGCAGATGTTGATAGTTAAAACAAGTGGTATTCAAGTAATTATTGTAATAATTACTTAATCAAGTAATTATTCAACTATTCTTTCATGTTAAAGAGTTGTGGGCTTCTACACAAAAAGTTGTAAACAAATGTTTACAGCAGCATTACTCATAATAGTGAAATGGTGGAAACAACCCAAATGTCCATCAATGGATGAATGGACAAGCAAAATATGCTTTAGTCATACAATAGAATGTATTCATAAAAATTAATGAAGTAATGATACATGCTACAACTTGAATGAACCTTGAAAATATTGTAAAAAGTGAAAAATGCTGCAAGTGAAAGAAACCAGACACATAAAGCCTCAAAGTATATGACTGCATTTATATGAAATATCCAGCACAGGCAAATCCGCAGATAGAGAGGAAGTACATTTGTGGTTGCCAAGGATTGGGAAAGGGGAAAATGGGGAGTGACTGCTTAATGGGTACAGGATTTCCTTTTTTTTTTTTTTTTAAGATTTATTTAGTTTTGAGAGAGAGAGAGCGTGGGGGAGGGTGGCAGAGGGGGAAGGAGAGGGACAAACAGATTCTGCGCTGATGGCGGGCTCAAACTCAGGACCCTGAGATCATGACCTGAGCCAAAAACAAGAGTCAGATGCTTAACCGACTGAGCCACCCAGGAGCCCCTAGGATTTCCTTTTAAGGAATAGAAACATTCTGGAACTAAAAAATGGTGATGGTTGCACAATTTTGTAAACTTACTAAATGCCACTGAGTTGTACACCACAATGACTAAAATGCTATGTGCATTTCACCACAATAAAAAATAACTGGGGAGGGGGAACAAGACAAAAATGTAAAGAAGCTGCTATCACAGTGAGAAATACTGCTGGGAAGGAGGTTTAAGAGAGAGAAAAACAAATAACTAACCTGGAAGTGAAGCAGGATACTGCAAAAGAATACTCCTTGCATATACTTCTTCTGAGGCAGGATCAAATGAAAGAGGAGACATTGGTGGTAAAAGATCCACAGCCTTAAAACACAGAATTCATCATTTTGAAATATACATTTTTTTTTTACATAACACTACTAAGATAATCTATGAATGGATGATTGTTTCCCCCTAATGAAGACAGGATTATCAAGCATGTAAATTATCATATAACTACTTTTAAACCAAGGAGTACGATATTAGAACAAGGGGACTACTCTGTCCTCCAACTGTGCCTCAAATGTAATACTACCTAATAGCAAAAGAAATGTCTCATTTTCTTTTTAATATAACCCTCTGAATCTAAAAATATAAACTATAAATCATAAAGCAGCTGGATGAATACTCTAATATGCACTTAGAAAAATTACAGAAACCAAAATATTTAAACTTTAGGTTCAAGTGCAAAGATGACAACTTACACATGCACAGCATTCCTAGCTCATTTGTAACATAAATCAAAAGACTGCCCTGTATTAAACTACTCTCCAAAAGGCAAGTCAACATTACTTACTGGAGTCCAACCTTTAATTAGATTGAAAGGAGACAGACCAAGAAAATCTTTCCACTTTTTATGCCATTCTCCTTGTTTTTCAACAACAGAGTGTTTTATACTGGTGAGATCTTCTTTTATTTTACAACTATGATAGCATAAAAAAAGAACTTCATAAATATATAAAAGTACTGAGTAAAATTTAAGAATACAACAGTTTGTAGAAAAAGGGAAAAAAAACATAACTGGAAGTTCAACCAGTAGAGCACATATAAACCAAATAAACTCACAATGAACATTCAGAAGCTAAAGTACTTATTTCCTTTTAAGACCAGAAAGCAATCATACATTACTCCATTTATCTTTACAATATTGGGGAGGGTACGTGCTATGGTGAGCACTGTGAATTGTATTAAGACTGTTGAATCACAGACCTGTACCTCTGAAACAAATAATACATTACGTGTTAAAAAAAAAAAAAAAAGAAGGAGATAGCAAGAAGGGAAGAATGAAGAGGGGAAAATCGGAGGGGGAGACAAACCATGAGAGACTATGGACTCTGAGAAACAAACTGACGGTTCTAGCGGTGGGGGGATGGGTTAGCCTGGCGATGGGTATTAAAGAGGGCACGTACTGCATGGAGCACTGGGTGTTATACACAAACAATGAATCATGGAACACTCCATCAAAAACTAATGATGTAATGCATGGTGAGTAACATAACATAATAAAAAATATATATATATTCTTTTTCCCTAGTTCTGAACTCAAGTCCAAATTCTACACCTATTGATCCCAGGGTCCTGGGATCGAGTCCCACATCACGCTCCTTGCTCAGCAGGGAGCCTGCTTCTCCCTCTCTCTCCCTCTGCTTGTGCTCTGTCAAATAAATAAAATCTTAAAAAAAAAAAAAATTCTACACCTATTCTCTGTCCACTCTTAAAGGCAGCCCATACCTCCCAATTACTTCACTCAAATAACAAATTTTTCTGAGGCTTAGTTTTATTAAGTAGACTCCAAAGAAAAACTTGAGAAAGTGAAAATTACTCCATAAAGAATTATCACTAAGGGCAAATAATTCATTCTAGACAAAAAGAAAACTACATGAATTGTGCTTTCTACTTAAAATGTGTCTCTCCAGGAGTTTTTGAGCTCTAATAAAATGTTCACCTTTGTTTGCCAAGGCTAAAGAGTTATCAACTACATGAGCTCTGCTGAGAAATTATCAAAAACACCTTACTCCTCCCCCAATAATGTAACAAAAGATCTTTCTACAGTACCTCATATGCTTCAGATCTGATAATCTCTCTCTCTGAAGTTTGGTCTCCTTTTCAAGGAAGTGAAGGTCTATTGTCAGTCTTGCTGGGTCAGCCTGACAACGCTCATATTTCACTACTTTCAAGACTTCATTTAATAACTGAATAACTGTTAACAGGTTCAATTTTCCAGCCTCATAAACATTTCCAATGTGCAACTAAGGATTCAGAGGGAAAAAAAAAAGTGGTTCTTAAGATAATAAACTGTTAGGTAAATATATTTATGTTTTTTACTACTATATAAAAAGGTTACCTTAAACAAGAGTGAAAAAAGTCAAATGTCTACCCAAAAATGAAGCCAATAATTTTAGTCCAAAGAAAACTACTGTGAAAGAATTTAACAAGTCATGCCATATTTTTATATTACACAAAAAAGCTGCAAGCTAGACTAAAAGAAATGCAAATAAATGGAAAGCAAAATAAAGACTGAGGAGAAAGAGCAAGTTTGGTGAAAGATCATGAATTCATGTTTTAACAAAAGTTGCAAATTGAGGGGTGCCTGGGTGGCTCAGTTCTTAAGCGTCTGCCTTCGGCTCAGGTCATGATCCCAGGGTCCTGGGATGGAGCCCCATATTGGGCTCCCTGCTCCGCGGGAAGCCTCCTTCTCCCTCTCCCACTCCCCCTGCTTGTGTTCCCTCTCTTGCTGTCTCTCTCTCTCTGTCAAATAAATAAATAAATAAAATCTTAAAAAAAAAAAAAAGTTGCAAATTGATGGCCCATAACAGCTAAATCCAAACTTAGACATGTTTATTTGGCCTGCACAATTCCAGTATTTTAAAATCATTTGAATTAGTTGGCAATCAACCAAAAATCTTAGATTTCACATAAAAATTATTTCTCCAAAGACCTCATCACTTACTCCTTTTGTTACACACAATTAGCCTATATTACCTATCTGGCCTCTGTAGGAATCTGAATTTGCAGACTAATTTTTACAGGAATCTGCAGTGCCTGGCATGTTACCTATTACAGTGAAAGCTTTTCAGCCATCACAACACTACTTTACCTTTGTATTCCCCTATACTATAATTAATGCCTGGCATATAGCAGATACTTAATAGATTATGAGTTCACTAAGAAAAAAAATACAGGTTATCCAGATGGAAATGTCATATAAGCAAGTGGAAATAAGTCAATGGAGTTGGGTTGACAGAGAGAGACTGGAAATACCAATTTGGGAATACTACTGTATAGGACACTGATGAAAACATAGAATTAAGAAAATACAGATGTGGGAAAGAAAAGTAGGCACTAAAGGAACCATGGAAAACACTTTCATTTGAAAGTTAGAGAAAAAGGATTCAGTAGAAAAAACTGAGAACAGCAGTCTGAAAAACCACAAGAGAGCAAAGACACTGAGGTCACAAAAGCTAATGGAAGAAAAGACTAAAATACCTAACAGCATCAAGATGAAAAAGAAACCACAGGGTAGAGACATTTTAAAAAGACATGCAGCAGGGCGCCTGGGTGGCTCAGTTGGTTAAGTGACTGCCTTCGGCTCAGGTCATGATCCCGGAGTCCTGGGATCAAGTCCCGCATCGGGCTTCCTGCTCCGCAAGGAGCCTGCTTCTCCCTCTGACCCTCTCCCCTCTCATGTACTCTCTCTCTCTCATTCTCGCTCTCTCAAATAAATAAATCTTTAAAAAAAATAAAATAAAATAAATAAAAAGACATGCAGCAAACAGGAGATCACTGCTGCTCTGAGAGCTTATGAAGAACCAGTACCATATCATCTTCCTACTAAGTAACCTCCTCCATCTCTCTACTGTATAATGTAGCACCATAAAAGGGATGAACAATTAATAAAAGCTAATGTATATAAACATATACACTGTTATATATAATATATACACGGTTAACAATAGCCCTCTTGATGAATGTTTTACTAGATCTAGTCACAAAAATAAATTCTGAAGACAGAAAAACACTGTAAGAAAAAGAATATACATTATTTACATTTACATATTATATATTAGTTATATGTTGAATACATGTATTTATTATCATTATATATAATAATTATATAAAGAGTTTTCTCAACAGTTTACTTAGTATCAATGCTTACCTGACACATCTGTTTCTCAATTTTGTCAAGTAAGAGCCTTGGAATATTGATAGCAACATTAGTTCCATCTAAAGTATATTGGTTAACAAGATTAAGGACGGCATTAACAACTTCTCTTTCTTTTTCCAAATACATGAGTGTTTCGTTCACTGAAGCCCACAAAGACCGAACCTTTGAAAACAAAGGCAAAGTCTATACATAATCTGTACATATATCAAAGAAATGTAAAATACAAATATATGCTCACTCTCTGGAACAAATGAAGTATTCCTGTAATGATTTCTGGCGAGAAAATTAATTAACTGTCTAAAAGCACTGATACTGGGGCTCCTGCGTGGCTCAGTGGTTCAGTGCCTGCCTTCGGCTCAGGTCATGATCCCAGGGTCCTGGGATCGAGCCCCGCATCGGGCTCCTTGCCCAGTGGGGAGTCTGCTTCTCCCTCCCTCCCCACCAAATGTGTTCCCTCTCTCGCTGTGTCTCTCTCTGTCAAATAAATAAAATCTTTAAAAATAAAAATAAAATAAAAGCACTGACACTACTTCCAAAGGGGTTTTAAAACTAAAGAATTTCTCGGGAGAAAAAAAAATAATTTCTCAGGAGAATTAAGCCCACCATGATTTTTAAAACAAATCTAAGAAACTTCATACTACACCAAGATGCAATTACGATTTCCTGTGTTTTGACATGCCACCAATCTAACAGAAACTTCTGAGGCAGGGACAGCTGGGTGGCTAGGTCGGTTAAGCGTGTGCCTTCGGCTCAGGTACGATCCCAGAGTTCTGAGATCAAGTCCCGCATCAGGCTCCTTGCTCAGCAGGGAGGCTACTTCTCCCTCTCCCTCTGCCCCTCCACCCGGCTCATGATCTCTCTCAAATAAATAAATAAAATCTTAAAAAAAAAAAGAAAGAAAGAAAAAGAAACTTTTCAGGGAGAAATGAAAAATTTTCGGGAGGAGAAAAAAAAAATCATTACACAACAATTTTATCAAAGTCACTCAAGTTTCAAAAGGTTAAAATATGAAAAACCATGCTTCTTTAAAAGCAAAGAATCTTAGGCATATACTAACCCGTCTATGTTCATTAAATGCATGTGTAAGAATGTTTATAGGTGGTAGCTACACTTGTGATCACAGCATAACAAAGAGTTGTCCAATCACTATGCCCTATACCAAAAACTCACATAACATTGTGTGCCAACTATACTTCAATTAAAATAGTAAAAAAATTTTTAAAGAATGTTCATAGCATTTCTATTTGTAATAGTCAGAAACTGCAATTAACCCAAACATCTACGTAGAGTTAAAAAAAAAAAAAAACATATGTTGTGCTATATTCATAAAACACTACATAGCATTGGGAATGAACACACTACAACCCACACACACAACAGCACAGATAAAACAGCATGAGTCAAAGAAGACAAACACAAAAGAATATATTCTATACACTCCCCTATATATAAAGCTCAAGAAGAGGCAAACTCATCTTTAATGGAAGAAGGGAGAAAAGTATTTACTCTTGGGGGGGAAATGGTTGTAAATGAAAGGGGGCCTGAGGCTTCTGGGCTAACGTTCTGTTCCTTAAACTCTATGCTGCTTACATACGCTTATTCACTTTGTGAAATTTTATCAGGCTAGACACTTACGACTTTTGCACTTTTTTGTACATATGTGATGCCTTAAAAGAATTTATAAAGGTGGGAGGTGGGCAGGGAAATACAATAATTATACCCATGATTGTGTTTGTGTCTTCCCATGGTACAAGGTAAAGAAGACTCATTGGCTAGGAGTCTACAGGTCTCACAGGAGGACATTTCCTTGGTGGACAAAGATCCAGGATCTGGTTCTCAGATTTTTGTTGTTGTTGTTCTTAGATTTTTACTTTTATCTTGTCGATGGATAAATAAATTGACCGGACTCAGGGAAAGTGAACATTAACCAAAGTCAGGAGAGATCAATGTGAAAACTTTTAACCAGGTTTCACATCAACCTATTAAATTTACAATCAAAGATACTATGTTCAGTAACAGAAGTATTCATAGTCACGAAGCTGGACGATCCATGAAGGAAGTGATTTTGCCTCCTCACTGCTATAGCTCTAAATCTAGAATGCCTGGCACATGGCAGGTGATCAATAAAAATTCACTAAATGGATGAATAATTATTTCCTGAGGAGGGGACTCACCTTTTCCAGTGACAAACTGGGAAGCCAAATTAACACTCAAAGCAGCTCAGTGATCATAAAAACAGAACAAAGAGCTTGAGAGATTTCATCTAAACACAAAGGCCTAAGAAAACACTCCAATCTCACATCAAAGCCATCCTCTGAAAACCTCAGATTATTTTTTTTTTTTTGAAGATTTTACTTATTTATTTGACAGAGAGAGAGAGAGACCGCGAGAGAGGGAACACAAGCAGGGGGAGCGGGAGAGGGAAAAGCAGGCTTCCTGCAGAGCAGGGAGCCCAATGTGGGGCTCGATCTCAGAACCCTGGGATCATGACCTGAGCCGAAGGCAGATGCTTAACAACTGAGCCACCCAGGCTCCCCAAACCTCAGATTATTTATGTCTGCCAGATTCCTCCCTATTGCCAAGCCAGCTTCAATGTGACTTCTCATTTTTCTTCCATATTTACCATCTCCCTTCAGTTAACATATTTTATTTACATAAATTAATACTACTGATTAAGTTACAATCAAGCTGAACTTTTAACCATATTTAAAACTGCTTTTCTATATATTTAGTCTTATAAGTTAATTTTTCCATTATATTCACACTTTTTAGAGGCACCCTATTGATACCTTTCTATATCACTTATTAACGCATTTAAAAAAAAAAGTTTTACAAAAAAATGACAAAAACAGAGAATATAAGAGTCCAATTAAGTTAGTCACATTGCACATCACAAAAGTAAGAAAGATTAAATTTCTCCCTTAAAATATAAACAGAAATATAAAAAGTTACCTCACCTTTTGGATTTTCTCTTGTATATTACTTTGGTCATCATAGGGTTCCATCCTAGTTAAAAAATAAATGATTTCATTAGTCATTTTTTTAAAAAATCTCATGGTAATTTACCACCAAAAGAGCGAACTGATCTATAAATCCACCCACTAACAACCATTTCAATTAAAAACAAAAATAAAAGTCTAGCTCAAAGCAATAAATTTTTTTACAGATTTCATTTATTTGACAGAGAGCAAGACAGCACAAACGGAGAGAGGCAGAGGGAGAAGCAGGCTCCCCACCGAGCAGGGAGCCTGACACAGGGCTCGATCCCAGGACCCAAGGATCATGACCTGAGCTGAAGGCAGACACTTAACTGACTGAGCCACCCAGGCACCCCGAAAGCAATAAATTAGAAGAACTGGACTAGGAATCAGAATTATGTTCTAATCCTACGGGTCTCAGTTTTCTTACTGGTAAAATGCAGGAACTGACTAAGGGAACTTCCAGCTCTGATCTAAGTCACTTACTTTTTTATTTGGTTTTGCTGCTCCATACATTCTGATCTCAAATTTCGTACTTGTTTAACTGACAATCTGTAAGAAAACATATAAATGACAACTATAATTCCACTACAATTAACTGGTATAGACCACTTTGATATTTTCCCCCATCTCTTATCTTTGCTTAAGGCCTCTAAAGACTACTCTTCCAAATACACCCAGCAGACAGCTAAAGGAGTCTAGACTTCCTTCAGGAGTTACAGGAATGATCTAATATACAGGTTGCTATTGAGATGGACCAGGACTTCTTGGCTCATATACACTGTCTTCAAATAAAAATGCTAGAAGTAAGACTACTCTGCTCTCTTACCCTTGTCACACATACTTAGAGGATAAATTTAAATGTTACCTACGACAGGCGACATTGTAGTTTCAAGGTGATTTCAAAGGATTTTCTAGTTTTCACAATAGATGACACATTTAAAAAGTTGTCTTACTGTAGTTGTTTATAATCATATAAAATTAGACACACTCTATTTCTTGAAAGTAGGAACCTTGCCTGTCTTATTTAATGCTGTAGGACCATGCCTAAACAATATTTGGCACACAGAACTAACTCAAAAAAAAATTTGCTGACAATGCCAAACCACATACAGCTATTTATATTTAAATTTAAAATAATAAGAAATTCATTTCCTTAGTCATATTAGATACACTTAAAATGTTCAGTAGCAATGCATGACTATTGGCTACTATGTTGGATAATGCAGTTATATAGCATTTCCATTATCACAGAAAAGTACCACTGGACAGAGGCATTCCCTAGACATAGAGCTCCATTTGGTGTGGTTGGCTTCCTCCTCCGACAAAGGAAGACTCCCATTGTCTCATCTGACTAGAAGACTGACTAATCCTGTCATCACAAATGCAACATGTCTTCCTTTGGGTATGAACTTCATCATACTTAGAACAGGCTGGATTGTTTTGTGCCTACTTCTTAATAAATTTTATAAAATGGAAAAAAAAATTGCAGACAAGAGGGACCTAAATATAACATTAGATGAGAAGGTTAAAGAAACTATGGAATACCTACTTGATGCAGTATCTACTTAATGGATACTCAACAGACTATTTAGATACTAAAAGGAATATATTTTAGAAAATTTTAAAAATAAAAATAATTTTGAATTAATAAAAGCAATTACTATGGCAATATGGAAAAATTTACAGAATATGAAGAGAAAAATAATACAAAATAGAATGAGCACGATAATTACAGCTTAAAAATATATATCCATGTTAAAAAAAAGAGAAACACCTAAGATAGTGAATTTTTAAACTAAGGTAATATTTTCCTTTGCTCTAAAATTTTATGTACAGTATGCGCAGTTTTAAAATACCGTATTCAGAAGTTATCTGGCTTTGGGGCGCCTGGGTGGCTCAGTCATTAAGCGTCTGCCTGCAGCTCAGGTCATGATCCCAGGGTCCTGGGATCGAGCCCCGCATCAGGCTCCCTGCTCCTCAGGCAGCCTGCCTCTCTCCCTCTCCCACTCCCCCTGCTGTGTTCCCTCTCTCCCTGTGAAAAAAAAAAAAAAAAAAAAGAAGTTATCTGGCTTTAAAATGAAAAGAGGACACGAAGGGGTTTTGTGGTAAGCATGGATTACTGCCACTGAAGGTACACTAATGACATTTGTTCAAGAAGAAAGGAATTTTCATTTTCTTTTGGGAGGGGTGGGGGAAAAAGAGAGAGAGAGCACGAGAGAGGGGCAGAAGGAGAGGGAGAGAGAGAATCTTAAGCAGACTCCACACCCAGTGCAGAGCCCTGAGTGGGGCTAGATCTCACAACCCTGAGATCACAACCTAAGCCAAAACCAAGAGTCAGATGCTTAACCAACTGGGCCACCCGGGCACCCCTGGAATTTTCATTTTCTAACTATCAATGTATTACTTACTGTGCATTTTCCTGATACTTTCGGGTAACGCAGTCTTCTCTTTGCAAAACATGTAAAAATCTATTACGCGCTACATGGCATCTGGCAATGCATTTGTGCATATCTTGTGGCTTTACATTAAATGTCTCGGTAAAACGTATAGAAGAATCTACATGGAAAACAAATGAGATCATAGAAATTATCAAATATCAAACATCAAATATTTGAAACTAATTTTAAGAGACTAACAACTCATACAACGAACAACTATGTGGTATGCCACATAAACAGATACAACTAATTTTAACAAAAGCAAGGAAACCTATTTTCAAGTAGGCAACTAAAAAAGGGTATCTGAAGTTGAGTTGTTTTATGTAATTAAAAACCGTGAAGTCTATCTGCTCCAAATAATTCTTATTATCAAAGCTTGATATATCCATGAACAAATACATTGTTATACACAAGCAACTTCTTAACAGGATCTTTTCACAGAAAAGAAAATCAATTAAAAGAGATGAGGTGAGATCACACCTCCTTTGCTGCCATCATCTTATTTTTCTATCTAGTAAGACCAACAGGACAACCAATCAAAACCAGTCTCCACTTCTCAAATAACTCTTGCCTATGTTACTAATGATCAAAGCAGACCCTGATAACAATCCATCCAAACATTTCAGTCCACATTTTTAGCTATAATAAATCCTACTTTAAGATGGCTCAATACAATAAAGACAGATATTCTGGAAAACAGGGACCACTCCACTGCACTTAACATTACTAATCCAGGTCCCAGTGCTACCCCAAAGAAACCACAAATTCTAAGTATTTAACCGGGGAGGAGTTCACTGAATGTAGAAGTCATCTAGACACTAAACACATTGACTGGAATTGCTTTAAATCAGAAATAGGAAATAGGACAACCCATGCTTAGAAGCCTTATGCACAGGGCGCCTGGGTGGCTCAGTCGTTAAGCGTCTGCCTTAGGCTCGGGTCATGATCCCAGTGTCCTGGGATCAAGCCCCGCATCGGGCTCCTGCTCAGCGGGAAGCCTGCTTCTCCTTCTCCCACTCCCCCTGCTTGTGTTCCTGCTCTCGCTCTCTCTCTCTGTCAAAAAAAAAAAAAAAAGAAGAAGCCTTATACCTTATGCACAACAAACTCTTGCTAAATCCAAACATACATATTTCATATAAAATACTTTGGGCTACATGTAATTGGAGTAGACCATCTATGAAAAGAAAAACTTTTCATAACAATGCTTATGCTGCATTAAATTTTAAATATGCAAATACTTATACAGCAAGACCACGTGTATAAGATTTTAAAAATCATGCACATGGGGCACCTGGGTGGCTCAGTCGTTAAGGGGCTGCCTTCGGCTCAGGTCATGATCCCAGGGTCCTGGGATCGAGCCCCGCATCGGGCTCCCTGCTCCGCGGGAAGCCTGCTTCTCCCGCTTCCACCCCCCGCTTGTGTTCCCTCTCTCACTGTCTCTCTCTCTGTCAAATAAATAAATAAAAATCTTTAAAAAAAACATGCACAGAATATAAACTGGAAAAAAAGGTTTACATATCACATCATAGAGAAAGGATAGTAATAAATAAGAGCTCCTATAAATGAAAAAAGCAGTAACTTAAGAGAAAAATGGACAACAATTATGAATATAGAGTACAAAAAGAATACAAATTGCTCTTAAATATACGAAACAATTTTCAGTCTAACTAAATAAGAGAAACACAAATTAAAACCACCCTGAGATTCCACTTTAACCTTCAGATTAAAAAGATAAAAATGTCTGGCCACACACAATGTTGCTGAGCCTCTGGGAAAACAGAAATCCTCTGGGAAAACAGAAATTCTCCATTCACTGGTTGTCCGATATCTACAGAAAATACTCTGATAATAACTAGCAAATTACAATGCACAATTCCTTTGACCAAGCAAATAGTCTTCAGGAATTACATACACACACACACACACACACACACCATATATACCTATATGTGTGTATATGTATCTATGTACATATATATATATATGGTGTCTGTATGCATGTGTATGTGTATATATATGTAATATATATGTGTACATATGTATGTATATATACTTGAACACACAAAATCATATATATGTAAAGATTATCACTGTAGCATTGTATTTGTAGCAAAAAAAAAAAAGTGGGGGGGAAGTCAAATGTTGGTCAACAAAAGACTGGTTAAAAAAAACCTATTACGGGGGTGCCTGGGTGGCTCAGTCGTTAAGTGTCTGCCTTCAGCTCAGGTCATGATCCCAGGGTCCTGGGATCGAG